TTATATTTTATAATTATAAAAATTACTTTTTTAATTAAATTGCAGGAGAAAAATATTCAGCTCTCAAGTACACAATCAAACTATCTAGAAAAACAGCAACGACGAAGATTAAAATTCCATTCAAAGTATTCTACATTAGTTATTAATTCAATAAAATTTTTAATAAATTTAAGTTCTGTTAGTGTATTCCTATTTTATGAAATTTTCAATGTATTTTTCAATGTAAAAATAAATAATAAATTCTTAATTAAAAATTTCATAAAATGATTGAAAACCCGTGCATAACCCGTTTTGATCACTTGTTTTATTTTATTGATAGGAGCCATCAATGTAAAATTAATTTTAATAAATTGCACTATTTTTATAATTTTGAATATTGCATATTTTATTTTAAAAAGTATTATGCAATTTAAATTGTATTAAATTATGATATTAATTACCCTTTTTATCTAATGATCACAATTTTATTTTTATTATTTGGTATAATTTAAATTCTTTTTTTTTTTTTGCCTTCTTTATATTATTATGAACAACTACGTTTGAAAGAAAAAAAAATCAAACTTTTTAATCCATTTTCTTTTATTAAGAGGGATATTAAGACTTAATTGTAAAAATAAATATAAAAAAAAACTTTTAAACTTAATATATCAAAAATTCTTAATCATCCTCTCATTTATTATTTTTTAAGAGTTATTTTCTCAAATTGTTTTCTGTACTTAATTGCATATGTTAACTTATGGATTTAAATGTGATTTAATAAAATCATTCAGCAAATTCAATGAATGATACATGTTTAAAGACAAATCTCTTTGTATTGATTGTACTTAATTAAAATTTAGATAAACGCTTATCTTAAATTCATGAGGTTTTTTTCTTTTTTTTCTTTTTTGGGTAATAGATATCTATCCCTAGATTTAGGGTACACGTTGCATTTCAAATTTCACTCCCCCAACAACCACGGATCCAATCTAATGTCTTAACTTTCATCTTCCATGCCATTTCCATCCAAAAGCTTCAAGACAAAACAGAACATGTACAGAGAGAAAGAAGGGCTTGGCTTTGGTAGATTATTCTTCTTTTCTCTCCTCACCATAAAATGGTTTTCTTTGATAAAAACATCAATGTCCGAATTGTGTTCATAGCGTTCAAGCTTTGTGTTGTCCACAAATGAAAAAAGGAGAATGTTCAAAGCTAAATATAATAAGAAGGTCCGTCCACTTTGCAGCTCAGCTGCCTTTGTCCATTCCAAACTTATAGTCGTACAGAATCATATAGCCGGAATGAATGAATTAAAATAATCATCTAAAGTCCTAGCTATGTCGTATATTATGAGCATATGCATTTGAGGTCTCCTTAAAGTGTACTCTTCATCTTCCAATTAGCGGAGATAGACAGATTGATCCAACAGTCGTTCATCCATCCATTGCTCTTCTGCAAGAAAGGTTCAGACAGTTGGAGAGAGCCGAGGAGATGAGGCAGGAGAGAGAGCTCTTACGGATGTTGCCTGAATCAAGGTAGATCAATGCAGCTATATCTTAGTGCCATCTAGATCGCTTTTCCACCCTCAACTCATGCTTTCACAGCTGCCTCTTCGGTGTACACTCGAAAGAGAAGCCAGTATGCAGAGCAGGAATACCCAAGTTCAGGCCATTCAGACTCCACTATTGGAGCATTTATGGTGCAGAGACATTGTCATATGCACAACTTACCATGATGATATCTCAGATGTTGATACTTCGCTTCATCTGTGAAAAAGTATTACAATGTTAGTCTACCTAGTAATCTTATGGTTTCCTTCCGTTTCTTCTTCACGGGGCAATAAGAATACGAGAAGGAAAAGGAGCTCAAGAAAAAGAAAACAGAATATGCAATGGCGCTAATGGCCATTATCCTATGTATCTTCAGAACTACATAGTTATCAGAAAGGCAATTCTCTTATCTCTTCTGAAATGCATTCTCATCATAGGTAATGTTATCCAATTTGTCACCGTTCCCTTTCCTCTTCGTGATTTTGGGAATCAATCGAGTTACATCTTTGGCCTCTGACATTGCTTCCCCGTTGTTTATCTACTCAGAATGAACAGCACTAACCTTTTGGGCATTTGCAGCCAATATCTGCACCAGGGACAACATTTCACTCATATTAATCAGTAATTCAATTGTGTGCTCAAGATTTAGCATTATTAGCCTATACGGTTATCACATGGATAATTTATTTTCCAGAAAAAATGTTTAAACTTGAATGTTACACAAGAACAAAGCATATGAATTATTATTATTAGTTGCTAAGTTTCATTTAGCAAACTGAGCCACCAAATGAAGCATCTCATAGGATGAACAATATAAAAGCAGATTCCTATATGAACAAATGCATGCCCCCATAATACCATTGATTTCAAAAAGTTATATGTGGAAGAGAGTCGAGACTGCATGATTGCTAGCTACATTCATTTTCTTAGTTTTTTTACTGAATCCCATTTGGTTCTTTTACCCTACCTTAAGTCTATATATTTGATGCCTTTCCGTCAAATCTTGATGATCAGATCCATCTTCATCATGCTTATCATCATCATCTTGATTATCCCTTTTGAGGACAAC